AGCCCATTCACTACATCCCCTATAACCCCATGCAGCACTACAGTCCCTATGCCCCTGCAGCCCCTAAAACCACTTTCACACACTACATCCTCTATTACCTCATGCAACCACTACAGCTACTATTACTGCTTGCATCCTCTACAGCCCCCTCTAACCCACTGCACCACTACAGGCCCTTCCCCCCCTGCACCGACTGCACCACTACAGCCCTTTCCACCCTGCACTTACTTCATCCTCTATTACCTCATGCACCACTACAGCCCCTATTAACCCCTGCAGCTACTACAGCCCATACCCCTCTGCACCCACTAAAGCCCCTTTCCCTCCCCTGCACCTACTACATCCCCTCTTACCATGCACCCACCACGGCCAATATTTCACAATGCACCCACTATAGCCCCTATCACTTCTGCACTCACTACAACCCCTTTCCAACTGCAGCTACTACAGACCCTTTCACCCTTGCCCCTAATACAGCTCCTCTTACCCTCTGCACCCACTATAGCCCCTATTACCCCTGCACCCACTACAGCACACATTACCTCTGCACCAACTACAGCTCCTATTACTCCATACACCAAATACAGACTCTATTACCCCTTGCACCCACTACAGCCCCTCTTAACCCCATGCACCCACTGCAGCCCTTATTACACTATGTACCTACTACAGCCACTATTGCCATCCTGTTCCTGGCACTCATCTTCAGCTCCAGGCACTGCAGCTGCCAGGAGCCGATGTCAGCTGCAAGGACTGCAGGGATCCATCATATATAGAGCCAATGGCCCTGCAGTCATCTTTGGTGAAGGCTGTGGGATTGACACTACTTTGTCTCAGTATATCTTTTGAGTAGGTTGGATTTCCAGTGAGTACTTTGTAAAGATTCTATATTTAGGAAATACTAAAGTTTTGGAGGGGTGGGGGTAACAGTGCTGCTTTAAGGAACACTATATTGGATTTCCTTCTATTTTTCAACATTGAAGTTGTTATGGCTATGAGGCCCTGTGGTGCATTCTTAAATTCAGGCATTAAACAGTGCTGGGGGAAACTCTGGGGTTAAATAGTTCAAGAACAGTTTAATCCCTGAAGGTAAGAGTGCACCTGGGGGCCTCCTGTTACCATAACAACTTATTGTAGATGAAGTTGTTATGGTGCCCATACTATCCCTTTAACCTTGTCAAGAGGGACTTGAATCATGAAGATCATTTAACTGCTTACCTTGCTAATATACATTTTGTCCAGGCTTTGCAAGAAAAAAAAACCATAGAAATCCAAATGGAAATGATCTACAGTTAGGAAGATGTTCCTACATAAATGGGTAAGCCAAATGTACTTGAGATGCTGTACACATATGAAGGCAGATTTAATCAAGTTAATAATCTTTAAAGTCAACCACCCAACAGTCCCATTTAGTCACAATGTAACCTCCATTTAGTTACATTCATCTTTCATCCGCCCCTATTTAATACCATTTAACACCAGACACAGCTAAGGTGCTGGTCCATGCCACTGTTCTTTCTCGCCTTGACTACTGCAATCCCCTTGCACCGCTGCAATATATAACGAATGCGGCAGCAAGGCTCATTTTCCTGTTCGCCTGCACCTCCCATGCCTCCCCCTCTGGCAGTCCCTACATTGGCTTTCAGTTAGATATAGGCTCAATTTAAGATTCTGGTGCATGCTTACAAGTCCCTACATAATGCTGCTACCACCTATGTATCCTCCCTTATACACAAGTATGTCCCATTTAGGCCCCTGCGCTCTGCCGAAGACTTCTCCAGGGCTGCACCTTCTCTGTTAGACTTTCACCCAGTCTCCACTCCTTCAAAAAATCTTTGAAAACACACTTCTTCAGTGTGGAATTTGTTGGCGCTATAATAATAATAATAATAATAATAATAATACATGTGCTGAATGTTCAGGTACCTCATTAATGCTGCTGAAGGAGTATCTAAAAGTAAGAAGGTCTGCAAAATTACATTTAAAAAAAAAAATGTTTAGTTCTTTTTACAAAATGACTAATGCATTGTTTACAAAATTATTTTATGCCCACTGCATTGCAAGAGATAAACATATCTCCATTAATTCAGTAATCCTTTTTAATAAAACTAAATGGGAAACCCGGTATTTAGTTTAACATAACTAAATTAATCTATTGCAATATAATCAATCTGCAATTCTTTTTTCTGTTCTGCATTATTCCTACTTTACTTAGAATTGTCAAAATTCATTTCAAATTTCAAGTCAAAGAAGACGAAACGGAAGCAAAGCTTTTGTGGAAAGTTTTCCAATTCGCTTATTTTAACTTTGAATTTAAAATGAACTTTCAAAGGGTTACCTCAAGAACCATGGCCACTTCAGTGAGAATCCCTGCACATAGAGAGTTAAAGAACATGCCAGAGGTGCAAGTCTTCCTCCAACATCATTCCGGGCTGGCTAATGTGAATTCTGTGCATATTTGTTGTCTGTCATTAATATATACAAGCGTGCTGGCAACAGAGGATCAATGGTGGCCCCCCTCCATGCTGCCAAAGTCCTCAGCTTAGCCCCAGCTCAGGAACATTGCTCTCCCATCAAAAGTGAAAGGGTGTGATGTAATTGGGAGAGGATTGGGCTGCAGGGAGAACTTGGTCTTGGTAAGCAAGCAATGGTTACCCCATCCAAAAACAGTGTTCTACAAAAAAAAAGTTGGACTATCCCTTTAAATTCAATTCTTGACAATTTTCTCGTTAGTGAAAATCGCTACTATTAAAAGAGCTGTGTTTCACCACTGATGCAAATGCAAACCATCTATTGCAGCTATAAAGCAGTTAATCCACTTGATAATGCTAATAATGAAAGTGTTTCTTTTTGAATGATACATGCCTCTCACAAACACCCCAGGTCACTCTATTCATGCCAGGGGTGTATTCACCAAACAGTGGGTTGTAGTAAACGGAAAACCAAACTGCACAATTTAAACTTTAACAGACAGTCTGTGACTGTATTTGGAGAAGGATTCAAATCATCTGTTCTGCTCAGATTTGGGAATTAATTTGTGAATTTACTACAACTCACAGCTTAGTGAATACACCCAGTCTCTTTCCCCTTTTATCTCCTTCCCTCTTCCTCCCACAGCCCCCTCTTTCTCACACACCTCTTCATTTGTTACCTCCATTTCCTTTTTTTCTTGTTTAATTCGGTGCCTCTTTATGTTACTGTCTCCTCTCCTGCCCTTCTCACATGCTTTATGTCAGATTGAGCAGGGGCCGAAGTATAAAAGTTAATTGACGGATTTACAAGTTGTGGTTTTATTTGTTTCCAATCTGGATTAAGTCTGAATGCATTAATAAGGTGTCTGCCTGTTCAGATCACTCCATATCCTTCTCCTGCTCTGGCTGAGCCAGAGATGGGCTGGATACAGGGACTGGGGGCAAGATTCTGGGGACCCCGTCACATAAACAGTAACTTATACCCAGGAGGACATTAAACTCACACATCGAATAGCAGCAGCACGTTAACCATTTCACTGTCTCTATGGCCTTTAAACAAACACAACAATAGATAGCTGCTTTAGAAAGTATAGATATTTAGCAACAGAAAAATGACAGACAGATAGACAGACCTAACAACACATACAGGTTTCACATCGATGCCGATTAAAAGCAACATTTGTTCAATGGTTATAGACATTTTACAAACGTGTATATAGTTTTATATTCTTTACTAGATGTATCTACTCAGCAGTCTTACCTCAAACTACAGACTGATAGACCCACAGACACACGCAGACACACAGACAGACAAACAATTTTATTTTTTTAAGCTACAATACAGTTAGTTGAGTTTTGGCACACTGCGAATCTAATACGGCAGAACATATTAAATGATCAGCTTTTTAGGTACAAAACATTTACCATGAACTTTGTAAAGGTTAAAATTTTAACTTTTATGATGGAGATCTCTGTGCAGACCAAAATACTGAATATTTCCCCATGGGTGTTGCTGCATTGGAGTGTGTTGTTTAGATGAGTGTGTTTCATGTATATATTTGTCTGCCAGCCAGAAGTATCTGTGTCTCAATTGGTAGTCACTGGTGTACAATGATTTATAATATACTCACACGTACAACTAGTATATAATAAATAATATGTGCTTCACCAGAAACGTCTAGCACACAACAATACCCCAAAAGGATAGCACTACTGCACTAATTGTGATGCTATGGGTGCACTGATTACTTAATAATTATAATAGTACCATAGATTTTATATAATAGGATGATAATATTATACAGTAATAAAGCAAGCTCATATTACTGTTTGTATACGCAGAAGTACTTTAAAAGCATATTATTCTTCACCTTTTAAATTGCAGCTAAGCAATTGGGTGTTTCAGGCTAAGTCAGATTTATATAATGTAACTAAATATTGATATTGTTGTAATATATTACTTATTACATATATATGCTCCCGTATTGTCTGTATGATCTGTTTACACTTAACATTTCCCCACTGAGTACACAGATGAGACATGAAAACATCTATCTGACACAAACACTGACATGAGCGCACACAATGCACCCAGTTTTCACACATCACAGATACTTCAATGATTCAGTCCACAAGGCTATAACCATACGTTTCAAATATTGTACATTCATCAGGGATAATGATATAGGTGTATGCATATATCTGTAAGCACAGATCTTAACAAAGTAGAATTTTAGAAGAGATTCCTTTTTTGTCCTAAGCAGGGACCTTTATTGAAGTATGTATTCAATAAATAAAGACATGAATTAGTCTGTATTTTGTGGTTTTATCCATTCAGTTTCTCTAGATCTGTCTGTATGTCTAGATCTGTATGTCTGTCTTTCTTAGCACAAGGACAAGACTTTTTTTCCCCCAGATCCACCAATCCTTGTTATATATTTACTGAGTGCATTAATATATTTTTTCTCTAATTATAAATAACTCTTTAACGACCCCCCAGGATATAGCACAGCTTTAACAGCATAAAAAGCCACATTAATAAAAGTCAGAAAGCTGCAACTAGCCAGTGGTAGGTTTCTTAAGAAAATCGAAAAAGAAATTTATTTTCAAACAACATAAATATTTTTTTTGGCAAGTTAAACCTGCTAGGAAGTGATGGAAATATGAGGTAGCATATACATTTTACAGTAAATTCACACAGCTAGGTAGTTAAATGCATTCATCATTTTCATTACTGAAAAATAGTTTATTATGTACAAAATGAAAATTATATATAAATATATTCTGCTAAACTGGGGTGGAAATGCAGAATAAGTAATCACTCATAAAAAGAAAGCTTGTTAGGACAGAATATATGGGAGCAGAACACCCTGCCCCTTTCTTAGAGGAAATCAGCACTCCTAAAAATATCAACACTTTGCTACTAATTTAGAGATCATTTTATGTGTTCTTGGCAGATACAGTGCAATGCACCTGAAACAGTCTATTTCAGCCACAAAACCAAAAATAAATGACAGAAATAATTGGAAAAAAAATAAAATCAAAATAATAAAAAAATACAATATACAATCACTAGAACACACACACACATATTTGTGCGTGTGTTCTAGTTCTGCAAAAGTATTAATGAAAACATCTACACATCTGCCTTTTAGTCTGAGAACACACATACATTTGTTAGAAATTGCACATTTAACACCAAGTTTTTTGTTTTTTCCAGAATTTGCTAAATGGCTGCTGCCTTGACTTAGCAAATTTTGCACAGCATTGCAAATAAAAGTACCTAATATAAAATATAATCCATCAATGTGAAAACTTGAAAACTATTAGAATTATTATTATTTTGATAGACTAGAATCAAGCAGGTAACATTTTTGGGTCACCTCCAAGGAACAAATTAATCCCTGAGTCACAGTGGAAAACCTAAATCTAAACAAAATAACATTGTTCAGATAAACACACTGTCTGCTCTTTTGTTACAAACTGATCCTTTGAAGGTGATTTCAATGTTCATGCAAATTTTGCAACTTTTAATTATTTAAATTTTATTTATTTTTTTGTGTACAAACCTCATTGCTCTTAAAAAAAAAGTTTTTGCCCTAATATTGCAAATACATATATATATCTATATACAAAACATTTAAAACATTGCACATAAATACAGATCTCCCCAAGAACCCCACCAACCCAGCCAGAAGAGTGCTCAGTGGACATATTTTCTTAAATCTCTGATTAGCCGGACAATAACAGTGCATTGGATTGATTCCTAAAAGATTTAAGGATTCAGTTCTAAGGCCCAGACTTGTTGGGGCCACCCTGTTCTTCCCTTTAATTTCTTTTCTCCAGAGGGTACCGTTCCCCAGAATCCTTCACTCTGCTGAAAAGACACAAATTATTATTATTATTATTATTATTATTATTACATATTACGCAGCGCTTTACAATTATATAATGGGAATATATAACGGCAAGGAATTAACAGGGAAAACAATGCTGATATATACAAGAGTTGATAAATTAATCATTCTGTTTCTTTAAGATTTCAAATCCCATAGCTTTATTAGTGGAGAATTACAGAGAATGTTTTATATTATGTCTGAATAATTCTAAACAATTATTTAAATGATTATTAAACTTTTAGTGATATACATGACACGAGAGAGGACTACGTTCACCACAGTCCAAGTAAATATTTAGTTTTTGTATGTTTTCTATTGTAAGGAATGAACGGGCTTAATAAAATATCCTGCAGGAAACACTTATATCTGTATAAACAAGAAAAAAAAATGTCATGAATGTGTTTTTCTTTCTAAGCGATCAGACATTTTATTAATAGTTGTATATATTAAATATAATGCAACTTTGCTGATAGGGACTTCAACACTGAAGCCACTTGGTTGTATTCCTTATTTTCATTTTTTTTTTAATTGTTGGGAAGAAAATAATCTCAATTTATCAGTTTATGTTGGGCAATTCCATCCCATTTCCAGGAAATAAAATATAGCAAGTTTATTTATTAGCCTGATAGCGAATAAATATCCCAAATGTATAAATATAAAATAGGCCGTTTCTCCCATGCAGTTTCCCCCGTGTCACAAATGTATACAGTTCTACAATGTTACAATGTTCTTATAACTGATCAGTTATGGATCTTATGTTACCTAATCATCATACAAATAATCATTAAAACAGGGATTGTTTGATTATATTAAACTTGTTAATATATTCAAAAGTACAATGGCGGTAGTCATAGGGTTTTATAGTAAAATATTACACTACAGAAAACATAACAATTTATAGATCAAACCCAGTTATACACATATAACTACATACAACAATCTTAGTAAAAGTAATATGATAGATGATAGATAGATAGATAGATAGATAGATAGATAGATAGACAGATAGATAGACAGATAGACAGATGGATAGATCGACAGACAGTCTATAAGAATGCATTATATTGTACATTCTGTAATCTGTGTATAGTGATACTATTATGACATTGCACTGTTATTAAATGTTCTGTTATGCAGTGTATAATCATTATTATATGTCACTGCTTATTATGGGTGTTTATTTTTTAAATTTTAATAGCTAACAAAACTTCTCTCTCCTCCTCATTCCCCTGTTTTCCCTTTACGTATCTTCTCCCCCATCTACAATTCTTTCTTTCTGTTTCTCCTACTTTCTCCCAGTCCCCTCTTTTATTCTCTCCCTTCTCCCCTAACTCTCTCTACATGTAACACTCTGTTTACTCACCGTGTCTCTCTTCCTCTTACTCTCTCTGCTATCCACCTTCTTGATTTCAGCTTTAAATCCTTCTGTGGCTCCCACCTCATTGTCTTTGGCCAGCACATCCATTAAGTAGCCAATATAGCTAGTGGCCAGTCTGAGGGTCTTTATTTTGGACAGCTTGGTGTCTGCTGGTACATTGGGGATGCACTCTCTGAGCTCTGCAAACGCGCTGTTGATACTTTCAGTTCTTCTCCTCTCTTTTTTGGGGGGGATTCCTTTCCTCCTCCCCAGTCTCCCCCCTAGGGCCTCTAGCCGGTTGCTTGCTTGGGGTGGTCCCACTGACCCATACTCAGGGCTGTAAGAAGGTTGGGCTGCAAATTCCGGGGACATCTCTCCTGGATTCAGGACCCAACCTTGGAAGAAAGGTCTCTCCTGGTGACATCTCGACCCTGGCGTGAAAATGAAGGGTTCTGGCATCATATGGTGGTGCTGGTAGCTGCTTATTATGTTCATGGTCTGCAAAATATCTCCTAAATGTTTCCAATTGTCCTGAAATACAGCTCTCTGCTCTCCAGACCTGATTCCTGCTTCTCCTTAGTATGACCCCATGACGAGCCCTTTGTTGAAAAGTTTGAAAACACCTTCAGAGTCCAAGTTCTCCTTCCTCATGGGAGCACAGCAAGTTTGTGATCCAGAAGCTCACAGGCTCACTAGCTAAGCCAGTAAATGTATATTTAAGATTATAAAGGATACAAAATCTGGAGTGCAATAACAAGCTTCATCCGGGCTCAAGCTCCTCCGCTCACTTAACCCTTCTGCATCCTTGTAGAGACTTTATATAGATCTCAGTGTCTGATGTCAAACTAACCAGGGAGCCAATGGAGAGTAGCGGGGGGAACAGAGGGGGGGCAGGGCACCAAGTAACACATCTTTCACCTGGAAACTCCAATAACTGCTAGGGCTGCTTGTTCAGATATTTTACAGGACTGGACTTCGTGTGGACAGATTTTAATTTGCAAGAATATTAAATATCACAACTCTATCTAACATTCTATCTATCTATCTATCTATCTGGTCTTGTTCACAAAAAAATACTCACATATAGCGCCACATATATTTTATGACTGTATTTCAAGGGTGTGAATTCAATAAAATTAGGGTAAGAAAAGGGGGTAAAAATTTTAGCATTTAAATAATTAAATACTTTTTGAATGTCACAGATCTGTACAAATGCACTTTGATTATTTCATCCTCAACGAATCAATGAATTAATTCTTTAATTATGCATTTAGCAAAGAAAATGTTACAAATTTTGGTAAGTTTTTACAGCATAAGCACTAGTAAAAATAAAATAAAACACATTATAATAATGCAGTGTTAGTGTTCTGTTACTTAGTGTATAATCATTTTTATGTTTCATGGTAATATATTCATTATCATTATTATTACTACTAATAATAGCTACATTCTAGAACAAATATTGCCAGTTGGGTTTAGATTTGCATAACTGTTCTGAACCTAGATATTTTATACACCCACATATTTATTTCGACATACATATACTAACTAATGTATCATGGTACACATGTTCCATTTTAATAGTCTGAAATTAAAATCTAAGTTTAAGCATACTGACATTCATCTTTGAAAGAAAAACAGTTATTTGTACGACTGATTTTTTTTGTATGACTGACTCACACAGACAAAATCACTCACTTTGTCTTTATTATTTGCATACCAATTTGATGAAATATATATTTTAATTACATGAATAGCTGTACTTTAAAGACTATGATATTTATCCAATGATGCATTTATTATATCACCTTTCTTTTTGTTACTCATAGTTATTGTATCACTTTATATTTCTGCCATTAATTACCCTAATTAGGAAATCTCAAATTGAAAAATATGCACTTTTGTTAAATATTATTGTGTATATATTTTAAGTGGGACAAAACTGGTGTAAACTATGAAAAAATTGTGTAATACGGGTTTCTCCCATCGCACACAGGACAACGAGTGAAAATCTACAGGTATTCCTCTGGTTAACAAAATAAAAAAATAATAAAAAGAAAGAATATATATAACTTTTTTTTCTGTAAAAACAATAGCGCCTTATTATTTATTAAAGTTATAGTGTGCTGCATAATTAAATATTCTGTAATACTGCTTAAATTACATGTAAAACTGTTTATACATCGTTCACGCACATAAGTGTCTTCTTATTTGCTTTTTTTTAAAAAATATATAAATTTATATTTTTATTGTTAGAGTAAAATGTCTGCACTATAAAGTCTATTTTAGCTATTTAAACAATGCTCTGTTTAAAATATCCCCCTACATTCCAATATATTCCCAGCTTCGAAATGTATTAAACAGGGAAACATGGTCTTTAAATCTTCTCTCTACACACTGGAATAAAATGAATATTTAGAATCACATGTCAAATCTTGTTCTGACTTTGTATAAATTGAAGAATTTTACACTGGTGATTCCAACTCTGAAATACAATATTATTTCTAAAATACCCACCAAAGGCATATATGGTTATTAAATCAAATAAACAATTCCACTAAATCGTACAGAGGAATATGGGTTATACAGTTTTAACTTTTTAATGGAATTATATATTAATGTGCTTTGTACAAATGTCCAATAACTATTTAAGATTAAATATAAATGGTTTGATGTTATATATATATTATATATATTACATATATATATTATATATACAATATATATATATATAAAATCTGTGAAAAGTGATACTATATATTCAAAAGTAAGATACATACAGTACAATATATATATATATACACACACACACACAATATATAATATATGTATACATATAGATTTTATATATATATATATATATATATATATATATAAATATATATATATATATATCTATATATAATAATTTTGAATCCGAATATGTATCCCAACCGAATAGTACACAGATTTAATACATTAAGAATGTGTTTATGTTTTTCCCAGTTAGTTAGTACTTATGAGTTTGGAATCTGTACCCACACGTACACTACAAATGTAATCTCTCATGAATAGCTCTATATTAATAAAGGACATCTCAGATTTGTATTATATATATATATATTATTGTTCACTAACAATGATTCAGTCTTTGCAATAGCGAGATAATGAAACAACTCACACTGTAAATCTTATTCTAATATTCCCTACTTCGAATTTAAAGTAGACACATTTTACTGGTTACTGTTTCCAAAAACCGATATGGCTTTGTTTTAATTTACTTGAACAAAGCTGATATAAATTAATTAATACTAAAATAAAAAAATAAAAATAAAATGCATGGGTCTCCATATCTTTTTGTTTCTCCTTAAATGAAAGGGTCTGGGGAACAAACATCTTTGGAATAAACAAGTGATAAGATAACATGAAGATCACACACTTTGTAGTCTCATGAATATAAATGTCCTGGTCTGGATCCCTGTTTATATGTCAGATGCCTGCTTTTCTTAAAAAACAAACATCCAGTCAACACAGGGTTAAATGAATTTCGCTTTCTCTTTGATAATTATCTTGGAAAAAAAAAAAAAGTTTAAACTCCCCCTCAATCTCAACAGTGGAAAATATGAACAAAGTAACTGGGGTTTGCATATTTTTAGCTGTCTATGTGTGGGTCTTTAGGGTAACATGTTATAATCTTTGCTTCACATCTGGGATTTGTTAGTTTCATTGTGTCTGATGTCTTCAAGAGAGTTTGCTGGGGTGAGTTGTAAATGGCTGTGCTGCTCTATAATACCAGGTATTATGTACTCCTGCTCTGCATTGAATGGTGACAGACAGAAGCACAGCCTGCCATGGGGCAAGGTAGCCAGTTAGCCCTGTGTGATAGTCACAGCACGTGGGTGAGACCTGGGTCGGTGCTGACTATATGGGCATTATAACACACAGGCTGAAATAACAAACTAGATACACAGTGTCTGATCTAAGTACAAGGCAGTACCAAGCCTGATATAGCCAAACCTGCCACTAAGTCTGTGCATGTTTATTAATGAGATATTTATTCTTCTGAACCGATTTATCATAGCCCAGTCCATATTTATAACAGAAAAATATAATGACTAGTTACACCTTGTATTTGAATGGATATATTAATCGACTTATCTATATTGTGATCATACTGATAAGAACATTGATGACTTTATAAAGTATTAGAAAAAGTATATTTCATTTCTATGATAAAGTGTATAGCAGCAGGTATATTTGTTTTCTTTTCATTTGGTATAACAGATTTTGATTGCACTCAAGCAGCCTCCATTATAGTCTTATAGTGTCCTAAACACCTAACTCATTCACTATAGTGTTTGTTTTTTCATTTAAAATATATATAGTGACATTTAGTTGAAATCTTGGCTGACTAGCTGACACCCTGTTTTAAGGCAAAACCAAAGTTTTTGCATAGATTGTTGTCCAGAGATATGTAAAATAAAATATTGGGGGACAGAAAGTATTAGAGATTTGTGGTATTATTTATCTTGTTATTTCCAGACTGAGTGCAAAATATTAATATAGAAACAATGTTTGCCGCATGAAAAAATAGATACAAAAATATGATCAGATAACCTGCTTATGGACTTTTGTGAGGAACTTGATGGGATGTTTGGGAAAGCAGAAGTCACCACACACAGTAAGTATATGGGTTTGGGGAATGCCAGATATCTGTACTATACAGAATCTTACAGACCACTATTGCAGCCTGCAGTATGCTCAAGGCCATCCTGCCCTCATCTCCCTCCAAGGATGATGGAATACTACCATCATACTATAAGCCACAGAGACTCTTATATTAGAAGAGTCCATCATTCTGAATCCTAATACACTAATTCATAGATAAGTATCATCCCTTCTCGGTCTCTCTGCTCTGCTGGTGACCTAATCCTGTCCGCTGCTCGCACCCTTACTGCTAACTCTCACTTGCAAGACTTCTCCTGAGTGGCTCCTTTCCTTTGGACCAGCTTGCCTACCCCCATCAGACTCTCCCCTAGTCTTAAATTATTTAAGATGTCTTTCAAAACCCATCTCTTCAGAAAAGCTTATTGCCTCCCAGAGTAACTTCCATGTCACAAATCTGCCTCTTGCTCTCTCTTAAAGGGCCACACTCCACTCTCACCTGCCAGTTCTACTTTCTCAGCTTTCACACCTTTCCCATTGGTTTCTATCCCCCATTCTGCCCTTTAGTATTGTGTTTTTTATACTTCACCTCTTCAAGATTATAAGCTCATTTTAGCAGCATCTTCATTAACCTATTGTTCCTGTAATAGCTTGTAATTGTTGCATGTATTGTTAAATTTCGCCTTTTTAAAATATTTTAGAGCACCGCGGAATATGTTGGCACTATATAAATGCCAATAATTATAATAATATAGAGGGGCTGATCCTAGCCCAGGGGAACAATTTGTTTTCCTCCAAGGTGCTGGAGTAGAGGATTATCAAAGTAATGCAAAACTAAATTTAGCCAAGGTTGGACGGGAGAGAGGTAAAATATATATTGTAAATCTGCTTAAAGATATTATTATTGATACAACTTGCATGAAAAAGGTGCTCTCTAAAGATTACTCTCTACCAACATATTACCAACATATTTACCTATTTACCTTAGTATTTACATTTCGTGATTAGTTGATAGCTAAAAAGACTGCAATATTAGATAGATAGATAGATAAACACAAAGATATAGATAGATAGCTAGCTAGCTAGATAAACAGATATAGATAGATAGATAGATAGATAGATAGATAAACAGATTTAG